TTTCTGTTTTTCTTTGTCTCTCTGGTGAGCACTCATGCCCTATTGCAAAAATCTGTTTAGAAAAATAATAAAGTTTCTAAAGAACAAAAGCTATGTATGTATATGAAAGACTATAGACTCCTGGTCAGCATGCCTTGGTAAATCCATCCTCTTCAAACATCCTTTCTGCTTTAAATGCCCAAAATGTCTGGTTAGATACAATAAGAGAAAAAACAAGAAGACATGGCTGACTTCAAAACAAGATCAACACATTTGTGGATGAAAGATGGCACAGAAATGTAAAATGATAGACAGGACGGAGGTTTCAGAACTGCTAAGTCTGAATCTAACAATGGCCCAAATAAGTAGGTATTTAATCTCCTAAAGGGTAAAGGGAGATTGAATCACAAGCCAGGGTGCTTAGTGCTTGAAGCCGGGGACCAGAGTGGCTTCTCTTGGCTCTCTTACTCTAGAGGAGGTACAAAAATTAGCCCTGTCTAGAATAAGTATATCCAATAGATGCAAATTTAAACAGGTAAGTGGAACCAGGCACTAACTAAAAACACACGGTCTCTCTGATAGATCAATAATATCCTCAATATCACCCTGTTTTGGTTTCCTGGCATTGACATAGCAAAGAATCACTAAATAAGTGGCTTAAAGCAAGAGAAATATTTTCTCTCACCTTTGTTGAGTCTAGGCCCCAAATCTAGGAGGCAGCTGAGCCATAGTCCCTCCAAAGGCCTGCCTTATGGAAGTATCTTTCCTTCCTTCTTTAAGCTTCTAGTGGCCCCAGCCATCCTTGTCTAGTAGTGGCATCAGTGCAATTTCTGCCTCAATCTTCACATAACCACCCTCTCCTGTGAGTGGGTCTCTTTAAGTCTTCCTCTCTATTCTCTTATAAAGACTTCAGTCACTAGGTTAGGGTGCTCTGAAGTATTATATTATCTTAACTTGACTATATCTGCAAAGATCCTACTTGCAAATAAGGTTACATTCATGGGTACCATGGTTAGGTACGGTTTCTCAGAGAACAGTTCAATCCACAACGCATGCTGAAGTAGGAATCCCTACAACTGCCTCTTCATAATGGGCTCTGTATTGAGGACACAGAGATTAGTGAAGGAAACTAAAAGCTACAATGGAAATTAAAATGCTCCCACTCAAAATGAGCACAGAAATAAAAATTTCAAAATGTATGAGGAGAGCCAGGTGGTGGCACAATGGTAACACAACTGTACCCATGTGAGAAAGGTCCTGGGTTCATATCCTAGGACCTTCCTAAACATGTTGGATGTGTACATGTCTATGATCTGTACAAGTGAATCTGGGAATGGATTGCAGCATGAGAACTTTGTTGAGGTTGTCTATCTTTCTCTCTTTTTCTCTCTCAATAAACAATTATAAAAAAAAAAAAAAGCCATGAGAAAATATAATGTCACAAAAGCCAACCGTAAAGAAATCATTTTAACCCAGGGACCAGCAGTTGGTGTAATGGCTGTGTCGCTGGACTCCC